GCAACATCCTTTTGAATGATCTCAAGTCATTCTCATTCCCTAATATATCATCCTTTGATTTGGATTGTGAGTTTTATATCCACAGGCAAGATACTTATCTAAATCAGGGCTATCTCACACACAGGACATAAAACTGAGCCCCAGGATTTCTCATCATTAAAAGGCTCCTTTAGAAAAAATATGAGTTTCCAATATCAGTGTCCCACTTAAAATGAAGCTCAGGTAGGTATATTCTCTCCACTAAAAAAATTTCCTACACTTTCAATTACATATTGTATACAACAATTAAGTTCAAAACCAAAGCTGAATAGTGCTTATCTTAAACAACTTTTAGATATTTACACCATACATTTAGTTCTTGATAGACTTTTTGAATCTTTCAGATTGAAAAGCATTCTACAGATATGATCTATTGTAATAATAAAAGAACTTCAAGGGATCTATGGTTGTGGTTTTCCCATAATATTAATTATTATCTATTTTAATACATTTTATATTTTATGGAAGGCTAACAATTTTCCATCATCCTGTAAAGCAGGAGAGTTCATTTAGGAATATAAACAATACTTCTAGGTTTATACTTCAGGTGTGTCTGAAGCTTTAAAACTCGTTTAGGATTTTATTGAGCAGAATCTGTAGGAATAATAAATCAGTGATACTCCACTGTGCAAGTCTCCATCTGCATCAGGGACCTAAAGAGGGGTGCCAAGAAGAAGAATAGCTGTAGCACTGGACCACGGAGCAAAAATCCACTGTTTAGCTACACTGTGGGTTGCACTTCCTTAATAGCTGTAATTAGTGCAATGTCATGTGGATGATGGATTTTATTCACATCTGGGTTTTGACTCTGTAAGGTTAGAAGAAAAGTGCCAGCAGCCCCCTCTTCCTACTTCATTTCTTGAAGTAGAGCCTACAACAAAAATTGTATGGCCAGAATAACACAGCTGTGTGCATCATAGAGATTGCCTTGTAACCATGAGGACTTTGGGGTGTTGTCCTCCAGGAAAATACAGAGAGAAGAAAAATAGTGTAAAACAGTACACAGTAGAAAATATCCCCTTTGGACCACAGCAATAGTGACTGCAGCAGAGAAATTCTTTTTCCACTTTTCTGTGTTAGCAACTGAGAACTCAGAAGGTAGGGAGTTTCAAATATGAATTCATTATTTTAAAATCTTTTTTTCTTCTTTTTATAAAAAACATACTTTCTATAAATCATTAAAACAGGAGATGAAAAAAAAATAAATGCCAGCTCTTCAAATGTCAAATATATAAAAACCTTTCAAAAATATCTTAGCTATGACCTCCTCAGCTCAGTAAGGAATATAGTTCCATACAATTGAACAGTCTTAACAGGTGGATTTCTGACTGTGCACTTATTCAAATTTAGTTGAATCCATATTTCATGTTATTTTCAAACTTATGAGCCAATAGAAGCAGTGCAATTAAAGCTCCTTTTTTCTCTGAAATTGCTGGAGCTAGCTATCTTAATTTGTCCTCCAGAATTTCAGGACAACATTCCCTAGACACCATTGGAAGGTCTACATACAGCTCAATCAGGACCGTAATTCCATCATGTACTAGTATAGGAACCACCAACTAATACAGCTTTATTCAATGTCCTCTTGTGCAAAAGAAACACAGATGAAGAACAACAGAGTAAATAAGTGAACAGAACACAGTAAATAAGTAAAGTTACTTCTTAATTTGTTTCCTTTGCTTCCTTTTAAATTTCCTTTTTTCTTTCCCTTCATAGTCAAAACATAACTGAAATACTGGAAGATAGTACATAAAAAAACCCATGAGCAATACTGTTTTTTCAGCTACTTAGTCAGTCTGACCATTAATGCCCGGACAGGCATGAACTGATATGGTCGTTCAGCATTCAAAAGAATTGACAAACCAAGAGGCCCCAAGGTCTGAATTTATTTGACCTGTCTTTGGGCATCCCTCTCAGCTACTGAAATTCCACACGTGAGGGTCTCCAATGTGCTTTGCAGAGAGCATTTGGCATTTTCAGTGGATGAATAAACATCTTCCTTCTGGACATGCTGGTATCCCCATCAGCAAACAGGGAGCCTGAGGCTGCCAGACTGCTAATTTACAGCTTAAGTTTTTAAAGATAGCTGGGTAAAACATAAACCTAAATTTCCAGAACCAGAATCATTGAAAAATTACCACATTTATTTCTTAATCATGTAATATTGACCTGACCGAAGCAAGAAAACTTCTGCCAGAAAAAAACTGGCAAACTCCAAGGAAGACCCAAAGATTTCAAAATTGTGACTATTGCACCAGGAACTGTCCATGGCCATCACTGTCCTTGGCTTTCTTGATTAAGAGAGGATTTTTCATCCCTTCTTACCTTCAGAGACACATTTTACAGAATGAGGAGTATCTATGTCATATTCAGTTACTCCTTACGTCTAAGCCCAATGCCATGAAAGAAAGAAATTTAATAGTGGCAGCTCTCTTTTGGGAGACATTGCTGAAGATGACAGTTATACTGGCAGAGGTCTCTTCATCTTGCTTGAGGCTGACTCAATCCTTCCTTCATTGCCAGGACCACAGCTAAAGCAATGAAGGAAAATTACTGTCTTTTCTCATCCTATCATCTTCCAAACCCATAGCTGTCTGTGCACTTTGTGACAGTAGGAAAAAAATAATTGCACCCACTGGAAATTTTTCAGGACAAAATGTGGCACAGCATTTTCCAAGACAGGCACAAATGCTGATGCTTCCTTCACAGTCACATAAGCACAGCACATAATCCTGAACCCCAGAAATGCTATCAAATTACCAGAATTGAAGCTCTTCATTATGTAGTAAACAACTCATCCTGAAATACATAGTTATTTAGCTGCTAAAAATGTCCTGTTTGCTGAGTTCCTTTCGTTGCATACGCGGTGCTAAGATCCAATCCTTTGCCTTAAGCAGCAGACAGTAGTGATATAATTGTCATCTACCTCTTCTACAATGGGATTAGACTGCCGTGAGCATTCCTTCACACCATCAGTGCTGATAAGACTTTTCTTGTAGAAATAATTTTTAAAGGCCATCAACACGTACTTTTTTAAAAAAAAAAAGAAAATCCCCTTTCCCCTCACTTCTGGGGGCTATGCAGTCTTTTAAAGCAAAAACTTTTCCACACTTTTCACTTCCTAACAATAACATGCTGTTCCTTAGCTTTTAGTTTTAATATAGGAAAGTAAGAAGCATATTAAGTTTCGGGCTAACACTCCAATGAGACCTTTGCCCGTATAACTCAGCATATGCCCAGCTTTATGCTAATAAAACAGAGTCTGGAGAGTTTAAGCTTTTGCTAATAATGATAATGGACTTTTTTTTTAAAATCCAACTATTTTTATGGAGCCTATCTAAATACTTGGACACTTCCTATGGACCTCTAGTGCTTTTAATTCAAATAATTCCCATGGTACTGTTTATATTTCTAATTTTGTCTCATACTGAATACACACAAAAGTCTCTGTTAAAATCCCAGCAGCCCTTTAACAAATCAAATTAAAGGAATTTGGGTTAAGGTGATAACTGATACTTTAGGAAAATTGGATGAGATTTGCAGGCTCCAAGGCTGGTGAAGTGACGCTAACTCAGAATATGTCAGAGTAATCTGGCCAACTTTATATTCCTGAAAGTTTAATGAAATCAGAGTACGTTCGGCAATTAGCAAATTGTGAAGAAAGATGATATTTTTATGGCAAACATTTATATGAAGATATACTGATTATTCAAATCACCAGGTTAAAGAGGAACAGCTTAAAACCACAATATAATGATGAGTAATGATGAGTACAAAAAGATATTCCTCAAATGAATAACTGTTGTTTGGTATAAATTGTCCTGCCTTTGCAACATGCTCTTAAAATTCAATCTGTAAATTACATCATTATAATCTTTGTTAGGTATTAAGTTTACTTGTACTAGCAATCACTTAGCTAAATAAACAAAACAGATCCTGTATTACACACAAAATTGGTTTTAGTTTTTCTCTCTGTAAAGTCAAGGAAATTATTTGGAGGTACATGGAGGGGAAGAAGAGGTGGATTCATTGCAAATCGTCATTTTATCCATTTTAAATTTATGTAGCCTAACTACCTAAATATTTAGACATCAAAACACAGACCAATATAATGTAATTAACATTTAAATTCTCAGTAGTAAAAATATAATACTAACTATATTTCTCATTAAAAACTTACACATTGTAATTGCAGTTAGTATGCTTGCTATTTGGAAATGCTGTGACATGTTCATAAGCCATTTGCAGAATATGAAAAAAAAATCTAGAATAAACATTAATTTAAATACTACCAAATAGTTATTCTCCTTTATTGCTATAGCAATCAGGGAGGAAATCCCGGGCCTACAATACATACATGGTACATTTTCAGTTTAAAAAAGTAATGAACCCATCTGCTTGTTAATGGCAAGATGGGCACTAGGAGAATGGCTATTAGCTTTCTTTATTAGAGATACATTTCCCAAAGACTTCAAAAATACTTTCCTTAGAGTAAGGAGTGCTAAATAGGCCAGTAAATGGATACTCAAACTATTCTGTAAGCTAGCCAGAAAACCTCCCAGTGACTTCAGTGGACTTTGAATCAAGCCTTCAGATCTCAGCTATTATATATTTTCTGCATCTTTTCAATGAGCAATGATGAGTCTCTGTTCTGAAAGCTAAATGTATCTTTGTATTTTCTCTCACAAAAGATCAGAACCCTGTAAGCACCATCTGGACTGCTTCTTTGTGCATCTGTACTTTATGCAGATACAGTCTTCAAACACGGACTGCAAAAATCCTATTGTAGCAGCAGACAGTGGCTGGGATCCATATCCAGGAGTCCTTTTGACTTCAGAGGAGCTAGATCAGGCTCTCCTTATGCTTTGCATAATAAAATCATTGAACCTATTTTGCTAATTTTAACATGACATAATTGCATGGCTATTAACTTATGTCAGCTTTCTCACATGAACTCTTACCTCCAAGGCATGCACCCATGGCCAATGAGAAGATTAATGGTTTCATAGGCAAGTTAACATCAGGATCTTTACTGAGGTTGATAATCACAGGAATCTGTGGTTTAAGAAGAAAAGAGATTCAGGAGACATTAGCCAACCATCAGCACAATATAAATAAAATTAATTCAAGTATACAACTTAAAACGCTAGCAAGTCCAAAGAATAACCTGCAGTTTCATTTTGGGGTTTTTTGTTTAGGTTTTTTTAGAATCTTTGCATCATATTCTTGATCTGTGCTCACTTTTCCCCAGTGGTAGTGCTAATCCTACAAGCCAAAGAGAAAGCACTGGCAATGTTAGGCCAAGGCTGATGCAGGTACTGCTGACAAAACTGAGGATATCTTAAGGTTATGAGTACCTTCCATTAGATACTTTTGGTTCAACATGGAACTGTCAGTGACTACAAATCAATTCCCTCTCCATTTCTTTAAATCTAAAGAACAGAGCTATATCCTTTCTTTTTGCTGCAAACAGCTGTAAGAGATGTCCAGACCTTCACAATCAAGATGAGTGTAGATCTATGATCTACAGTAACCAAAAGATTCCTGAATCCTTGTTAAAATCAAAAGTGTTTGATCAGAGAAAAATTGAGAAAGGCCTATGTGTCAGGCATCTGAACTCATAAGCAAAGCTGAGTTATTTTACTTTTTATTCTAACATTATAATTACCGGATAATGTGAATATTTCCCAGTGAATGAAATCTACAAGTTTTATGATTTTCATTAAATTATTCTAGAAAATAAAAAATATATATGCCCTGAAAAGTCAAACAAGGCTTGTAGGGAGACATAATAGACTTCATTAGGCAACAGGTACAGAGTCCAAAACTACAGCAGACAGGCTTTCCAGTAGCATCAGAACTGTCAGTAACACCCTCCAAAGATACAAAACTTTTGCCTTAGTTGGGAAAAACTGGTTTGAGTTGAACTTCATTGTGTAACTACTTGGTTTGAAAGGAAGGTGTAATCAGTATTTGTAGAGAGAAGGTCATTAGAAGAGAGGCAATAATGTTATTAAACTCTTTTTAATGTGCATAGTGGTTTATGGGACCAAAAGAGAGAGAGCAAGAATAAGCAAATGCAAAACAGCAAGAGATCAAGCAGGAAAGGATTTGTGGAATAACTGTGTATGCCTCAAAATAAATGCTTTCTCAGAGCCCAGGATTTTCAACAGTGAATAGAGTTATGACTTTTAATCCTCCAGTTTATCATTTGAATGTATTTCACAGGTCCCCCTCAAGGGGTATGATGTCAGGGATGGAACAGCTGCTTCCTGAAAAATGTTTTCACTTTTATGTCTGGGTGATGCTCACCTTTACTGAATGTGTGTGTTCTTTTGGTAAGGAGCAATATATAGGCTTTATGAAGAAATACAATCCTTTCTACATCCCTCCTGCCAGTGGTGTTAATCATCCCTCTTAAATCCTCTAATTGATTAACCTGGATAAATTAATGTCTAAAAAAATTTTCTTGAATTGTACTGAAGATGTCTATTTCTGCTTTAAGACCTAAAGAAAGGTCAGCAGATCCAACATTTTGTCTGTTTTTTTCCATGGAACAGTGATGAAAGATTTCATTTCTCCCCACAAACTTTGATTCTCTCAAACCATCACTGCCGGAACATGATATACAATTCTAACTTCAGTTATATTTATTTCAAAACAATGTTGTGTTTCAACAACAAATTTAAACACAAATCATCATAGGATAAACCATCTTGCTGAATCTAAATAAAGCGCTTTTTTCTACTATATAATTTTGACCAAAGAATCAAAAATGATTATTCAGTTCCTCAGAATTACTTGAAAGTATCCTGATGTAATATGGTAACTCACTTGATGCAGGACACAATCCTGAACCGTGCAGACTAGCAACACCTTTTTAAATTAGACAACTCCTTGTCTGTCCCCTACTGAACACAGAAAGGGTGGTTAGACAGAGGAGATTAAAATGACAGTCCTATTTTCTTGCTATTAAGGTCCGTCCCAAAGCTGTTGTCAGCCACCTCCCAAGTGCAGAGCAAGGTATGCCATTTTCACACCCCACTGGTGAGAATCATCAGGAAAGCAGAGCCTTATGGCACTTCAGAAACCCCCTCTCTAATTACAGGACTGTGAAAGACAGGGGAAGCAAGAAGCAAAACCAAGATGTCAGACAGAAACTCCATGAGGTAATGCTCTGCTAGGCATTTGTAGCCACACACACATAATAACCTCAATCAGAAAATCTGGTTCTCTGTTTAGTGAAGGAGCTCAGTATCAGTATCTCTGTGTCCTGTAAATCTCTATGGACTGAAGACACAACCCCCCCTAGAAGAAAGTCACTGAACAAAGGTTTCAACTCATTGTATCTTCTTTTTAACACAAAGATACATTGCAATTTATCAAGAGAAGGTGCAATTGTGTAATGTGCTTGAATCTTCAGTTCTCAATTTTTTTAAACCCAACAAAGTATTTTAGAAGACCAAGAATACACTTGACCCCATTGGATTTGTTGTTGCCTCCTTCTCATAAAATTGCTTTTCTTCCATTTAGTAGTACTGTGAATCCTTTATAAAAGGCTTCATAATAATTAATCATCTATGTTAAAACTGTCATCAGTGATGCCATGCTCCTAAGGGCATTAACAGGTAGTAGATCAAGAATCTCTGCTTCCATAAATGCTTGTTTATGTGGCAAGGGGAAAATACTGAAATGTGCCTTAGCAATACATATTTGTGTACACTTAGATTTGAATGCTTCCACTAAAGGAATTCATCCATACCAAAGAATAGTGGTTATAAGACACAAAGGAAATGGAAGTCCTGCAGACAAACCTCTAATACATAGTTCATGTTAGATTTAACATGCATATATCCTTTGTAAATGAGAAGTATTTCTAACAAGGAATGTTGCACCATAGGATTCAATTTTGAATAACCAGATGAAATATCAATGCAAAACATTCAGTTAAATTTCTGGTGATTCAGATAGATAGAAATATTTAGTTGATCCATAATGTACACTAATATTTTTGTAATCCTTATCCATTATCCTGTGTGGCAACAGCATGCCAGTCTCCAAAAGTCACTAGCATCTAACTGTTTTGATCTAAAAGTAGGCATAATGCAAAGAGATAGTTCTAATCTCCATCTCAAGAACTTTCCTTCTCCAAAAAAAATGAATTAAAAAACTTGATCATCAGCATGAACTCTTGAAGAGGTGTTGCAAAGCAACTAAAGCCAATGGACGTTTCTCATTGCTTGAGTGTTTGCGTTTTAAGTAGATAAGGATCACACACAGGGTCAGTTGCAAAGGAACCTGCTTCTGTTTCCCCCTAAAATCACATTTAACATTTTTTGCCCCATTCACTCATGCTATTATGTGTTAGGCAACATTTTTGTGCTATCAATATCTCAAACCTCAGCTTCATCTAAGGGTTAGAAGGAAATGTGTGACTGTAGTTTTCAATGGTTTTGAAAAAATTAATTGGTTCCCCAACTCTTTCTGATTCAAGCTGTAAGCATTTACAATAGCATTAAAAGCCCTTCAAGCTAGGATACTTTGGAAACTGAGGCATAGTTGGCTGTGATATATATAGTACTCATATCTTTGTCATATTGACTTAACTTACTTGGAATGCAGATTTTTCAGTTTTAAGAAGTGCTGCCCCTCAACAGAGAAAAAAAGCAAAACTTAAAACTTATGAAGCCTCGTGTTTCCTTCATTGTCCCCACTTCAGATTATGTAAACAAATCACTTAAGAATATTAGAAGGAGAATAATAAAGTCTTACCTGGAAACTACCTTTCATTTCTTACACCTTCTAATTCAACAGTCTTATCGCGATAAATCTCTGTTTGACTAGCTTCTAGAAAATTTGCTAATTTTACTGGAAAGTTCAAAGCACTTCCCATTGCTGCTTAATTGGCAGGTTTTAAATAAAATGAGTGATATAGCTCATCAGAGGAAGGCCAAATCCCCCTCACCCACTCGCTGTAAGACTATCTACCTTCAAGTATTAAAAGCAAAAAATGTAACTGTAAGAAATAATGATTGCACCTGGAAGAAGGAGAGTGCCCTCAAAGTCTTGATACAGAAAGGAGATAACCATTAATCTTGATTCTATATAGGGTGTTATGCATATTACATATATAGGATGGAAGGTGATGTACAAAGAACAATGCTAGTGTCTACAGGTGTTGTCACATTTGTCTCTATAACTATCCTAATCAAAACTAACCCTTGTGAAGAAAGTATCTGTTTATATCGTATACTGTGGAAATACACAGGATGTGTTACAAATATAAAAAGAATAAAAAATGAAAGGTATATATTTTCATCTTTCACACCATTTTTAATCTCAAATAAGTATTGCAAGCTTTTAAAAATGGAATGGGATTTTATTACTGTTATAAATTATCTACCTTCCTTAGAAAATAGCATCTATTAACAAATAAAAATATTAGAAATTAATTCAGACTCAAAAAATATGATTCTGCAGGACAGTGTATTTCTTCTTATCCCTCTCAGCTCTCTAACATTCTGGAAGTTCAAGTTAGATGAAATAATCAAAAAGCAAGGAAGCTCAATTTTTGCTTTAAATGAAAGCTTTGAGAAAGAGAAAATGGAAAGAGTTTTAGACTAGAATTATATACTCCAATTACTACTAAGCTAAATTATATAAAATACTGTTGGTTTCCCCATAACAATCCTTGCATTTATATTGTGGCATGCGGTCTCCTTTTGATAAAAGAGAGTGGTGGTCGTGTTTGCACATCTCAGTTGTGTTGTCTACTTGACACCTCTCAAGCCTTGTTACTTCCAGTTCTGTTTGTGCAAAAGTGGAATGAAGAGCCTTGAACATTTTGCTTTCACATTCATTTTGCTACACAGACTGCATTCTTTCTAAGCAAAACCATGACCAAACAGTTAAGACTTTCACATCTTGCTATCACAGTATCTTTTCCAAGACTCAAAACTGCCAAAGAGCAAGCTGAATTGAGACCTTTCTCCTATTTGCCTATTTTTATTACAAAACTGACTCATGAGCATGGCATTCCACCGGTCAAGGAGATGAAAATAGAATACCTCTTTTGAACCTATGAAGATCTTCTTCTGAAAAACAAGCAGAAATTATGATTTAGCTTTACTAGCTGGACTCTGGATACACTGAGGAGACACCAAAGAGGAGGGGCACTGGTGGGTGTCTGCTCCTGGGATGGCAGGAGACTCATAAGAACCAGCAGGGGAAAGTCCTCTCAACTACTTTCAACTAGTTCTGCTTCCCAAAGATAATACTCGTACAAGTAATCACACCTCCCCATTGTGCAAGAAGGGTAACTAGACAAGTTCATCCTACACCTATGCAGCACAATAGGAGGCATCTGGTCATATTCGCCTCAGAGGTACCTTGGCACATGGGCTCCAATAGTTGTGATGGTTGGACTAGTTGATCTTTAAAGGTTCCTTCTAACACAAACCATTCTATGATACCATATCATTTTGTCTAACTGTGCAAAATGAAAATGAAACAGAAATTCACATCTTTATTTTAGTGATTCATTGCTGCTGTATGCCATGGGATTTCACAGCACGCACTTTTCTAAGAACTGCATGTGGTAAAGAAGTCTTTTGTGAAAACTGCAGAGAATATGCATTAATAGAAAAAAAAACCCCCTATTTGTAGTTTCCCAAGTTGTTGATGGTTGGTGTGTCTCTGCAGACAGCTATGGCCCAGTCTTTCACATTTATCAAGCATTAATATTCAGAGCATAGAAATCTCTGGTAGAGAAGAAAGCAAAGAAGGTCCAAAAATATGACTGGCACTAAGAATCTAAGATACATATGAAATATTCAGTACAGCAAATGAAAAGTTTCTTATCATTTTAGAGGCAATAAATAGTGGACAAAAAAAATGATCTGGTTTCTAACAAAGTCCTGTCAGAGACTAAATCACCTTGCCAGCCAGGTGGTTAATGGAAATTGTTTGTTACTCTATATTGAGGAAATAGTATTCAAACTCAGCTAAAATGAGAAGCTACTATGGCTATATATTAGTTCTGGTAGTAAAAGAAAAATGTAAACAGATGGCTCCAACATATGCGACTGATAAAACATGTCAATTAAGCTAAAGAGCATACTGGTAATAAAATCCTGTCACCTAACAGTCTAAGGGCAGAAATTTGTGGCTATATAAATGACAATACTAGGAAAATGCAGGCCTTAAAAACAAGTAAGTCTGCCTGTCAAGGAATGTCATTGTGAGTTTAGCCTGTTGAGAAATGCGGAAAACTATCAGAGGATTAATAGAATGCAGTCATAGAGCATCACTACATGATTCATCACATTTATTCTTCAAAGAAAGCTGAATATCCAACATGAAAAACACCCTTGCCATTCAAAAATTAAAAAGTGTGAGACTTGATAACTAAGCTCCTGGTTTATGAATTGTTTATGCATAGAACATTTTGTGGGTGTTTTTTAAGCAGCTCCCATACATATTTGTATATATTACATTTGCTGCTGACAACACAGTCCTTTGCATACAGTCAGAGTTCACAGAGTTTCCCACAAAGTATGTCTCAAACTCAAAATATTTTGCTATAGTACGTTTTTTACATATCTGCAAAAAAATAAAAATATTTTCTTAACACAATTACCAAGTATGCTTATGCAATGAAGTGCAATAAACACTGACTCACTCAATTAGGCAGCTGGATCTTGACTTTCCAATATTCAAAGAGAAGGGAAAAGTCTTGGGATTACAGTTCATCAAGCAAGTGTCAATCTCCTCATCTGTTTTTGGGGCAGTTTCTAATCTTTGCATTCATGACAGATTATATGAAACAAGCAACTGGAATATACTCTGAAGACTGTTTGGTTTTGTGTGGCTCCAATGCTTCATTTTAGTTTAACACAAGCAGAAAAACAGTAATAGTAATCAACAATGATCTAAGTGCCCTCAGAATACATTCCACTGTTTCATGTGTGCAACTTTCTACAGCATCTACACTATTGACAGAGGTCTCTGACGCCATCCTCCAAGCACTCTGTGCTCAGTCAGAGCATACAGCTGATATCTACAAAATCATCCAGATTTTTTGCACACATAGGTTCAAAAAGTGGGAGGAACTTGATGGGTCTTATATCCCTACCCATTACTTGGTCCATCAAGGCTATGACTGCAAAAATCACAATAGCTATTGTCCCTTTGTCATACAGACATTTGTACACCACTGAAGGAGATTTATGAGACTTTTGGAGGGCTTCACTGGAGGGAGTCCGTACAATTGCACCTTCCATAATTATGAGCATAGGCTCAGCTGTGAAGCTGTCCCCTTTTGCCAAGAAAGAAAAAGATCATTCATAGCAGGTGCCCTATATTCCAATATCACCGAGGCCATATGAAACCAGACTTATATATAGAAGCAGGTCAGCGGGTAAGTGTGAATGTGTGAGTGAACTATGCACCTGAAGAAGTGATTTTGCTGTGTGGGTGGTTTTCTGTTATTAATAATTACAACTTGATTCTGTAAATAGCAAGTCAATAAATAAGCAGAGATCTAAGAAACACCTGTTGCACTGTATGTTTGTTAAATACACACACAGTCGCCAATTAGCAAAAAGCTATTCTGCAAAAGAGCTGGCTTCAATATACGTAATACTCCTCATGAGGAGTCCATAACTTTGACATATATAGTGATAAACAGCCTTCCAAAACCAAATATTGTTGACAGTAAGAATCCAGTGCCAAAGAAACTAAAAGGATCTAAAATGAAATTTTATACAATCTTACATAAGAACTTGGGACTTAGTTGCTTAGGAATTTTCTGTAAGTATTTTCTAATGTAGAATGACAAAGACCAAAGTTCAAGCCCATTCACTGAGCTAGATGATGCTAGGTCTTGACTTTAGTCTGCTGTATAATACAATAATGCGTTAGCAGCTCAGCTAATGACTACTCTTGCATAGGTGAGAATATGTCTGCTTTTTTTTTTATTTCTTCTTTCCTTCACTCTCCACCTATTTTTAAAGGAAAAAAAAAAGTAGCAACCTTTTGGGTTCAGCTGAGAATGGGATGAAAAGGATATACATTTGAACTGTCTAAAACCTTCTCAGGAATCATTTCCTGTCCATCTGTATTTCACTCCCTCAAAGATACAAAAGAAGTGGTCTTCAGGCATCCCAAAAGATTGCTGTGTTTCAGTCCCTTTCTCCAAAACACAACCCTTTTGAAAGAGCATTCCTTTCAAAATTGTAAAAGACCCTTTGACTGATATGCATGCAGGTGTCCTGCTCCAAACCAGTATTCATAGACCTGCTGAATGTGAGCAAAACTTTTGAAGCTAAGATTTCTGCATTATTGCTTAATAGTCCTCAAGTGTTTGCAGGGAGGTGACTCAGCCTGAACCAATCTTTCTCTTCATGCCTATTGCTTACAGTCTGTTTTCATTAAAACAATGATTCCACAGGAAACACCACGGTAATCAAATCAAAATACCACATTAACATAGAGCAGTCGCAAATCTGTCCAACCTATCATATGCTCTATAGTCTTAAACCTTGACACAGGCTAGGGGTCGACATGACCACCCAATAACGATGGAAGAAAAAACTTACGCTTAAAAGAGAACATGCCGTAACAACAAATCATTACTACTGTATAATGAAGAAATTCATACAGAAGCACTTTAAACAGAGAACTTGATTGAATAATCCTATCTTATTGTGCCCTAATTTGTTATTATTTGATACTTTTCTGATATTAAAACTCAGCTGCTGGTAAACATTTGTTATGCTTAATGTTATTTGCTGCTTTTAAAACTAATTACATAAGTATGGTAGCAATAAAAGGTTCAGGTATTAAAAAAGCATTAACGTAAGTACACAGTGCATAGAGGGAAAATATTGATAGCACCAGACGGTTAGTGACAGTTTCCATCAAAAAAAAGATTTTTACTTCTCAGCTATGGATGTCGACATAAGAGGGAAAGTGCAAAACCACAGCTAAAACCATGCATCCACTTCCATGGCTAACTGTGACTGCTGGCAGCAGTGGCCAGCTAGCTGCCTAAATGGCATGAATAAGCTTGTAATAATGATCCAGACTCAGGGGATAAGGTAAACCACAACACAGAAGAGGTCAAACAAAAAGCAAATTGTAATCTGCAAGCTCAGCTCCCTTGCCAGCATGAGGAGGAGGCAGTGCAAGTCCTGTGCAGACCCCTACCATTGTAGCTGTGAAAGGGATATTGTCAATCACGGAGGAGGCCAAAGCAGACACCCAGAGCACTAAAACAATGGCCACGGCCAAGCGCTGGTCCTCAGGAACCACCTAGAATTGAAAGAGATCAAATCAGAACTTTGATGAGATCAGTGTTGCTCTGTCCCCTCGATGGTGTAATTGCATGTTCTTCACAGTTTTAATTCATCAACATTTATTACTCCTTCAGGCTCTGAGATAGGAAAAGCATCTTAAAGGAAACAGCCCAATAACTAGTAACACAATTACTCTTATTCCAAGAACATTTGAACAAATAGAAATACAAAGACTGATATTTCTAATACTCATACTTACATTTCACACAAGAAATAAACTGTGCAACTCTGAATTTTTGCCTTTTACTCTTTATATCTTTTTGATTTTTTAGACTACAGAAAAAGCTTCCCTTTTGAATTTATGGCTATGTTTATTCTGGCTGTGAACAGATACTGATGATACAGAAATGCAGTCATTAACACTAAAATAAAAATGGAAATATTATTCATTATTCTATTGGAGTAAATGTGTTTTTCTTAACTGTTTAAAAAATGTAAATATTTTAAACATACCTTTATTAACAGAGCTGTCTGCTCTCCTATATACTCTATTAAGTGCAGATGAGCCAAAGCCTGAAAAAAGAAAATACATTCACAGAATCACACAGAATCACGAAATATTAGAAGTTGGAAGGGACCTCGAAAGATCATCCAGTCCAACCCCCCTGCCAGAGCAGGATCACCTAGACTAGGTCACACAGGAACGTGTCCAGGCGGGTTTTGAATGTCTCCAGAGAAGGAGACTCCACAACCTCTCTGGGCAGCCTGGTCCAGTGCTCTGTCACCCTCACAGTAAAGAAGTTTTTCCTCATGTTCACATGGAACCTCCTATGCTCCAGCTTGCTCCCATTGGCCCTTGTCCTGTCATTTGACATCAGAGAGAAGAGCCTGGCTCCTTCCTCCTGACATTCACCCTTTACAAATTTATAAACATTGATATCAACTACTGAAGTATCTCATGCAGTTACATTTTTTCCAGTGGATATAAGCAAATACAATTCCTTCCCATTAACAAGTTATTGATATTAATCTACTGTAGCTTCTACAGCAACTTTGCAATTGGTAGAAATAAAAGACATGGCAGGAACTGGAATCTATTTGCAGAAGTGACTGTATTTGCAGTTGGTTGTGCTGGAATGACTGGTGAGATTGCATAAGAGTAGGGGGCACAGGAATCGGCGAATGGCTGAAATTTAAAGATTACATTCATACATTTCCTGAATACTGAACCCAACTGATTAAACCAACTTCCCTAAAACCACAACATAGATAGAAGTATATCACGTGTTTAAAGGTCAGATTAAATCAGGCATCTTGTGCTCAGCCTCAGATGAAGCCGAGAATGTAAAATGTACTTTTCTGTTAAACAGCTTCCTCAGACCCATAAAAAATGACACTACCCATCTGCTAAACCAGGCTAGAGGTCTTGGGTGAGTGGAAATTGGCACAGAGGCAGCAGCACCTGAAAGACTGGAAAACAATGTCTCTGATGCCAAGTCCGGCACCCAAACCAAGGAAAGGAGCCCCGTAAGCTTTGAGCCAGGGGACAGCCTGGGCCATGGTGTGCTGTCCTTCCTGTGAGAGCTGTTCCCATTTGTACAGAATACCTAGGTAGCATCCCATGCAAACATGGTTACTACCACAGATGAAAAGAAATAGCAAGACTCCAGTCAAGCGGTGATGGTTCCAATCTCATCTTGGGCAAATAAGAAAATACAAACTGAGTCTTCACACCCCAGCAGAATGATCTATTCCCTCAAACCATGAGGTAAAAGGGCGATTTTAACTCATGAGAGCTAGCCTTTAATTCACTTTGGTTTTATATTCTTTTGTTATAAGTGTTCAGAATGAAGTCCTATTTTCAGGTTGAATGGTGCATATCAATTTTATGACTTTTCAGTTTCTCAGAGCAGAAAAACACATCATTTTTGGTTCAGCCTGGACCACGCTGGTTGGCTTTCTTTCAGCTTTTCTGCTGCGACAAAGGATCAGTCAGGTGCGATGCCTCACTTACTGCCTCCATTCCCACATAGAGCCACAGATGTCAGTATTCACACAACATAACTCCATATAACCCGCACACCTGTCGGTCAGACAGAGCCCTCCAGAGACAACAGTGGGAAAAAAAAACAACATTCATCTCGCATGCTGTCAAATTCTGTGGCAGAGATGGACAAAGTCCTAATAACCACGGAGTGGTGTGGTGTAAGGCACAGTAACGTCAGTGTGACAAAGAGGCTGTCATTCAGACCAGTGATTCCTCTACCTGCAGCTCGTTCAGGCAGCAGCTGAATGGTAGTGGTTTGAGTATCACCACATACTAAATTTGGCCCTGAAATTACATTTCCTTTTAACAATGCATTGCACAAGAAAAGGTATATCTACATTTAAAGATGCAGCATGCAGAAAACAAATCATAAAACTTGTAAGTACATACACAAACAAATTACACTTTAAAAAATTGATATTTCTTCATGACTTTAACTTCCCAGGAGAAAGTCTCCTAAGAAATGAATTCTTTGAATTCTAATTTTAAGTTACCATTTTAATTCTAAGCTATCTGTGTTCCTTCATCAATTCACAGGTTATGAAATGACTTTTAAACTGTACGTGAAAACAAGGTTCTTAATTTTTTAAGAAAAAAATTCAACTGTATTTTTTTTCTGCAATTACTTTGTGTTCACACATTAAAATAAACTTTTGAACACATCACCATCAGTAACCAGAGCTCAGAGTTACATTCAGTTATTATAAAGACATTGCTGCCTTATTACTTAATTATCTGTTAATGCAACATATTATTTTCCAGTAACACTTAAAATTTGTTTTGGAATCCAGACATGGTACTACAAAAGAGATATTTGGGAAAGAGGGAAAGAAGAACACACACATCACTCCTACAAGTCAATCAGTTTGCAGGTGGCCCATCACATTAGAGATTATGACAATACTGATCATATAACCAACTTTAGGATGTCTCTAAAATATACAGACCAATCACCTGCAAACACCTAAGTGAAAGTCAGCAATTAGAACCCTGTTAGTGACTTTCCCTGGGTGTAAACTTCATAGAGGATCTCCTGATCTGCTTGTGTCTTCTAAGATGAATAAGTATTACTGGACTAGTTGGTGCCTTCAACCGTACTAGTTCCTGTTTGACAGCTCAAAATAGAGTCTTGCTGCATATAAAATTATGTGCCGTTTTAGATCAAAGTTTAAGTTCTGCACAAAAATTTCCATGAAATCTTTTTATGAACAGTATGTCATGATGACTGTTGTAAATAAACTCTGCCTGAAGGGATTAAGGTAAAATGTCAATTTTTTACTATAGAATTGAACAAAATACTGTGTTCCTGAGTGGCACAGGAACTTTTGTTACAGAGATAAAAGAAGCAAAGAGATTTTATAGTCTGTAACAGCAATTGTGAACAAGGACTGAAAAGGCAGTTGTAGAGACAAATTACCTGAAGGACATGATAGAAAACAAAAGAGCTCCAAAGGATTTCCAGCTCTTTCATTGCAAAAGATCTACCAGACTGGATCGATGAGCACCCAAAGGTAGAACCTCCAGGAGTTCCTTCATGGCTCTGGAACTCAAACCACATTTTCCAAAATGACTTGCAGCCTAAGTCCCACACAGGTTTCTAAATGTGCCTTATAATAGAAAAAGGAACATTTATAGCAGCAGAAAATCGCTTCAGACTGGGAACCATCCAAGGTGAAGGATCAACAAGGGTGAAGAATATCAGCTGACAACTGCTGAATGCCTAGATGATGGAAAGACTTCTTATACTTCAATGCATATCTTTGTTTTGACTTGTTTCTTCTTGACATTGTTAAACTGAAGGCAAGAAAAATGCCTTGGCAAGGACTGTCATCTCCTGATAATCCAAAGAATAACAGATTCAGATCAAAATTAGCAGTGATGATATTTAGAATATGTTTCTTATTCATTTATGGGGAAGAATTTAATGTCTCCCACTTTTTTCTTTATTATCAGTACAAGTTTCTTTCATGACCTTAAGCTGCTGCTGTTTTAGAGAGGCAGGAAAAATATTCTTTCGTTAGCAAACTATTCACTGGTGACCTGAGAAACCATAAAAATGAAGTTCAGTGAATTCCAACAGTTGTATCCGAAGTCTGGCAGTAAAAGGCAAGTAACTTCCTGCATGTTTTACTATGTTATTGTGCAGTCACACAGCACTCAAATCAAAACCATTCAATTCAAGCTAAAACAATAAATACATCAGGGAATGCAACCAATAAACTGTTACAGAAGTAGTAGACAAAATAAGCATGGCTTCAATATGGGTTCCCTATAAGAGCTAGAAAATGCAAGGATATATAAAGCCTGATAGAATAGAGAATAAAAATTGCCTGTGCTAATGTGTGTAGAATAAATCAACATTTCCTGATTAATTTTAGATCTACTAGCTCACAAACAAGCTTCCTAATGATAATGAGAGTTCCCATTCATCTTCTCAGAGGTTACCAGATTTTTACTTCCCCTTTGTCATTAATTAGAGTTAGTTGATTTGGAATTTGTATTTGCTTCAAATTTTTTCCCTTTTACTGTTGGTGAATTTTTTAATAGATCCCAATTTACACATTTTTGGTCTCTTTGCAATTAATGGCAGGAGGAGCGAAGAGAGGGGGAGAAGGCTGTGCAAGCAAATTCATTATTACAGGCTTTTCCCAGGCTTCTCACTCTAATAACTCACTAGTCATGGCAGTGCCAGTGGTCACTGGGGTTTTATCGGTCATGTTTCAACAACATAATTACATCATTTAAACCCAACAAATAACAACTGAAAAATACCGAGCATTCTAGGGAATGCACAGAAGCCTAATTGACAAGTAAATGTGGGTATTCATAAAAAGCATTATCCAAATGCTTGGGGTAAAAATAAATCCTCTCAAGCTATACAAAAGCAAAAAAATAAAATGGGATACAATTATGGCTGGACTGTTTCTGATAGTCAAGCAGACAAACACAAAGAAACTACACAGCAAGATATCCAGGCATTTCAAGTACTGAATATCTTTTTAAATTACAATTGCAAACTGAAACTCAGTGATATTATCCTTTCAAACTGTACTGCCATGAAACCTCTTAGACCATTTGTTAGCCAGCACGTAGCAGACAGCACCGGGAGCATTTTTCAACTATGGTTTATTTTTGTTCTTTTATTTTTCCTATCACTTTTCTACATAATTGCAAAACAAACACATAAATGCATATAAAATATTTGTACACATAGACCACCACCAAACCTGGAAACCAAAATTCCACTTACGGGCAATGATTGTGTTAGATGTATGAAGCAAATGCAGCAGAAGGAGAGAGAGTGAGACCAATTTTACAGAGAAAAATGAAATCTCAAAGAGGTCCAGCCACCTTCCACCACTCTGCAGTTTCTCTCCATAGTGCTGCAACTACATTCAATATTCAACATGCCAGTGGGATTGAATCTGCAGGAGGCCTCTGCCCAGGAGCATAATTCATGTTTTAGGTTGGTTGTAACTCTTCAGTTTTTAGAAATCACAGAATCTTACCTCCATGAGAACAAACAACGCTGCAAAGAAAAGGAGGGTTGCCCACTCAACTCTGCTCAGTATCATCTCAAAATCATGGATGTCTGCTAGCACTAGCAGCCAAATGGCTCCCAACATGGCAATCCAGCCTGCAGAAGAAGAAAATAACACTTTACAGTTCACATATTTGTTGTGTGCTACCATTGTAAAAGTTATAATGTTGTGTTTTTCTAAGTTTTTTGCTGCACTTTTGCTCTGACTCTGTTAACAGGGAAAGTTCATAGATACCCCAGGATGAATGGTCTCTGCTTTCAAATTAAAATAAATTAGAAAAGAAAAAAGGCAAATAAGGCACATTTGGATTAGCCTAAATAATCAGTGGGTTTGAATCATAGAGAAACCTTTAGGTGTTTAGGAGGTAGACTGAAGGACTCTGCAGCCCCTGAAAAGCTGACTGCAGCCCCACTTGAAGACTTACTGGCTATGTGCGCTAAAAGATGAACAGCAGAAAGGAAAATCTCTTTAAAACAGAAGAGGGACTGACTTTAAATTGCAAAACAGGATCTCTCCAGACAGGATCCCTCTATAGACCCTGCAGTGTTTTAAGGGACATATTTAGGAAACTGATTGAGAGAAAATGCAAATCAAATGCACAATCAGCCAGAGAAAGTAATCAGCAAATCTCCCATCCAAGCAAGACTCACTGTCCCTCTGCACAGTTAAAATGCTTTCTGGAGCTGTTTGATTCCTCTGGTACATTTATCTTAAACAATAGAATGGGATTTCAGACATGAAACAAAAGAGGTTTGGATGGATTTTGCTTCAGAATGATGCTCTTCTTTCCGTGTTTCTTCTCTAGTTTTTTTCCCCTAAATAGCAGATGATGTTTTTTTAATATTAAAAACTAACATACATACTTTAAGGGTTTTTAATGACATGGAAATTTCTGTCTTTGTTGTGACTATTTCATACACTTCATCCCATTTCATGTATTCACAGTCAGAAAGTGATGGATTCACAGAATTGCAGAAAAAAGTGAGAAAGAAAGAAGAATAACAATCTTTGCTGGCAAACAACTTATAATCAAATACCAAATATGACTTTGAGAGAATAGACCTCTGCTTCAAAATAGATAAGATGAATAAAGTGATCTCTCTCCAAAAGCCTTCAAAAACCACAGCTGTAAAAAAATTCTGAGATAGAAGAGTGATTCATAAAATTTTAGGCCATTCAAATTACAGCTTATGAATAAGTGTTTTTCCATTAAGTTAAAAGAAGAAATAGATCCAAAAACATCCAACAGTTTTAAATTAAGATCTATTCCACTTAAATCCACCTTAAATATAAAAGAAATAGACACCAAACATTCTCACTGTTTATGAAGCTGTAAACATTAACTATTTTCTCTAAAAAATCCTATATAGTGTCACATAAGTATTCCCCAATTGAAGAATGCATTTTGCTCTCTCAAGTACATTTTAGGAGCTTCCAGTGACATACTGCACTTTTTCAATGAGAATTTCATGTCAACTGTGATCAGTAAGGAACATTTGGGGATCAGTAAGGAACACACTGGGTATGAAATGTGGTACAGCCAGTGTGAAACCCAATCCATATCACTGAAGCAGGGAGACAGGTGCCAACTGCTAGAAAAGGTTCAGTTTAGCTGTACAAGGGGGAAAGCTGGATGTGGTGCACTGGAGTGAAGCATGATTAACCTTAGTACTGTATGGAGGTTCTTTCTTCACAGAGGTCAGGGGTTTTTTGAAGATGAAAGAAGTGCTGCGTCACAACTGTCCCAGCCTTCTAAATTTTGCAATGGGCTAGAGCAGCTTTCTCTATTTACACCTAAATCCTCAGGAACCATTTGTGTAAAAGACACACTTTTGTAGTTTCAGGTACACACAACTTTGCTTCTCTTCTTTCCAAACAGCTGCCAAATTTTATTGTGAAGAATTACATTTTTACCACCCATTGGAAAGACACTCCAGAACTGATCAGAGTGGTAATACTCTGTACTGCTTAGGATGAATGCTGGATTCTGCCACAAGTTGCAAACGTATACGTTTTCTTTGTGCACCAGACTCTGAGTATGTATGTAGCTTCAATGTTCAAATGGAAAATGTTATCTACAGGATCTTTGAGAAAATCGTTCTGAAAATTCTTCATGATCTCATTCATACCATGGTCAAACCAGACTTTGCAAAAACAAACCACAGGGACCAGAGTGCTCCAGGAGTTTCCAAAGTTTCCAAAGAAGCAAAAGAAGGGGATGGAGAGAACTGTCAGTTCCCATCTATCACTAGGAAATACACTGGCTAATTTTCTTCTGACTGTTAAGTCTTGACTGTTCTCTGAATTCCAGTAAAAAACAGTGAGCCCAACTCTGCCTCAGATAAAGATAGATGATGGCAATTCCTGTTAGAAGAATACTGCAAACAGAAGTAGATGTGCGCACATCAGGAGCTTAGTAGCAGAATTTTACTGCTATTTTCTACAAATACAAGTGACAACATTACATTTTGTCACACAAATTTTGTATGAAAGTACAACAAAGTGAAGACTTAAAGAACAGCAATTTCTCAATAGTTCTGGAACAATCTGGGATAATATCTTGGCATTATTTCTACTCTCCTGCCTACAACAAAAACAAATCAACTTCAACATGCTTTACAGAGATAACTAATGCTAATTAAATATAAGTGAATGGTACAAGAAGTGGATAGAGCCAGGCATTTCTAGCACCATGAGTGCTATCAGCACATATGAGCTCCATACACACATCTTTCCATGAGACAACTGTGCCCTGACATACAATATTGCTCCCTGGGAACATGGACGGAAAAGGGACACGTCCTCCTGCAGTGCTCTAACAAGTACAGCTCAAACACGTCAGCTACCAGTTCTGTCTGCACAGAGCTCATTTCAGTCTGCACACACAGTTTGTTCAGATTATCTTGGCTTTCCTTGCTGTGCCTGCAAGGAGGTGACGCAGTTACCCATCTCTGAGAGGGAACAGGAGAGGAAGGAGGTGATCTCTCAAGAAATTTCGGGGACTTTATGCAAGATATCCACACACGATGCCTTTTACTATCACGGTTTGACTTCAAAGACCCCACAGCTGGACAAAAGTAAAGCCTTCCTCTGGAGCCTGAAGGCCACAGTAGTTAGTGTACGCCATAACTGCTTGACTGAGTGCTATCTGCTGATCTGCTTGTCAAGGTTAACTACAAAGTTAATGGACACATGGCAGCCTGCCTTTCTAAATGGACAGGTTTTCTAAGGCTTTTCCAAGGCCTTTCTAAGTATGTTCATGACAATGAACGTATTATATCAGTGTTTTGTATATTTGGGTAGCTTTGCATTTGCCCTGGATTCAATTCAAAGCTATTCATTCTTTTTTGAGGAATTGAAAGTACTAGGTTACATTAGAGGCTGGCTTCTCTGTTCATTTGTTTTCTAGCTTACTGGGCCACAAAAGATAGCCAGGAAGAAATGAAATAGAAATAATCTCAAAAAATAACTTCTCATTACTATAGTGAAAGCAAATCCCATTTATAGGTCCACAGACCACTTCCTTTACTGCCTTTTAGTGCCTCTGTTTCACAATTGATGTTGTGGAAATAGAATATGGAGAAAAACTGAATCTGAATTTCATTTCTGCACTGCACTATGGTACCTGTTGAAGACAGTGACAGTTTATATTTATTTTAGGAAAAATAAAATTACGTTTTATTATAAAATGCACCTTATAATGCATTCTTCAGAAAAAAGATTCTCATGTTTTCTGCTTGGCATCAGATAAAAAGGTATGTTAGAAATAGCTTGAGTGCTTTGCTTTTCTAATGCATTTTACACAGTAGGGAAAAACACCTTTGCAACAATAAGTAGCTCATGATGAGAATACAATTGCAATCCTACTCAAAAAACCCTTATTTTGAAATAATCAATCAGAAGAACTAAAATAGAAAACAATCTAATAGAATCAAATATAAGTCTAGAATATATGGGAGGAAGGTAGGAGAAAGAGAAAGAAATGAAAGAAAAAAACCGCTATGTATTTTTATGAAACTGTAGGCCTTTCAAATGCTCATTAAGAAAAATTTAAAAGTAATTTTGTCTGACCTACTACCAGCTGAAAAGTATAATAAGCTTCCTCCTAACAATGTGAGCATGTAGACACTGCATGTTCACTTTATGTGCACAGAATTTGAAATAATGTCTTTATGAATACTGAGGGTGTACTTAAAATTCACTTTTGTGGAAACTGAAATGGCACTTGAGACATTTGTGCTGAAAACCAAAGCCAGGGTAACATTGCATGGTCTTAATGCTGGCCCAGGCAAAACAGTAAGCAGCTCAAGAAAGACAGGTGCAGGGTACTACATTTAGGCAGGAAGAGTTAAAACTGCACAAATCCAGGGTGGGAGGCAACTGGATGCCTAACAGTCCTGCAGCAATGACTCAAGAAATACAGCAGATCACAACCAAACCTAATGATCCACTGAAACACAGAAGCAGGATGATAAATGGCAAATCCTGTGAAGCAAGCTCTGCTCTCTTCATCCCTGTTAAACCCTGAGAAGATACACTTTAAGAAAGATGCATACTCATTAGGAAATACAAGGCAGAGAAGTCAGTACAGTCAACACTCTGAAAAGTTGACTTTTGAGGAAAAATTTCAAGATTCCAGGATATTTAGCTCAAAGATAAGCAGATTAAATGAGTCCTAGCAAGTCTTGAGGTTTGTACCAGACTGCTCCAGAGGACAAAGAGCAACCTGTTTGTGGCAGTACTAGGATGAGAGGGAGTGAGGAGGAAGTATAATAGCAGTGAGGAAGACTCAGGCTACACAGTATTCAGAGTCACATATTTATAGCAGTTAAGAAATATCTAGTGTTTCCTAAAAATCAGCTAGACCATCTTCTACTAGATTAAAATATAATACTCCTATCTGCAGATAATGGGATAGACATTGATTTTTTAGACATTTGTCAATGACCAAAATATGATATACTTTTTCTGTGATCTTAACAATTCTCTGTTTGTCAAAATGGCCACGGCAACTTTTTTGTGAATTGTAGAAACTCTTTTAGCCCACAATGTCCATAACAGGCTTACTAGCTCAAACATACTTGATGCTTCCCAT